GCTCAATGTACAATCATTAATCCATCTCAAGCCTAATTCTCGTCAGTCTCCAATCTTCTGAAGCATAACGAACAAGTTCTTACATGGTGAACGAATTCTTACAGAGTGAATAAATTCTTACATGGTGAACAGTACAAGGGCATTCATCACAGAAACTTTCGGTTTTGATCATGCAATATGACCTATAAACCATCAGGTCAAATATGAATATTCATTTGATTTTTGTACTTGATTTATATGTTGATCCCACATTTCTCCTATTATTATTATTATTTTTATTTTTAATAAAATGCTGAAGTGGTAGGTAGATGCAAGATAAAGGTAGAAAACATAGTTTAGTGCTGTAAGAAGGCAAATGTAGATGATCAGATGATCAGGTGTGTGCCTATGGACTAAGTATTAATCCAGGCTAGACAAGGGCAGCAAGACATCCACGGATGCAGAAGATTTCTCTCAAAGCAGGGGGGGTGAGGTTCTGAGCCTCACCTCTGTTGATCCCCAAATTCTCACCTGATGGCCCCCCTGCGACTGTGCCTGTCTTAGGTTGTTCCTCCCTTGAGGAATCTTACCCGTCTCTGGCTAACCAGTCATCTTCCGGGGCCATACAGGGAAATGTAAAGTTGGTAAGTGAGAGAGAAGCCATATTGTTTGCAAAGGTTAGCTTTTTACTTCTTTGCAGATTTATGCCCTGTGGCTTCTATGCCCAGCACTTGTCTCGAGGTATCTTTACCACCTGGAGGAATTATGATACTCGGTAAATTCGATATGAGGCACGAATTCTATTTAAGGGTTGTAATTAGGAAGGAAGAAGAAAAGCTATAGATGTAGCATATGAAGGAAACATGGGAGGATTGATTATTTCTTTGACATATCTTCTTGTAGAGTACCTTAAGTATGTATAGGTTTTAAACTACTAACTAATTTGCACACTGTATTTCTTTTTTTAAAGTGTAATATATAATATTTCACTTAACAAATAAATAATGAGATTGTCTACATCTGATAGAAACACATTTTAATTAAGAAATAAGTCATCAGATCCTGTTGCCATACCAAATATGAAAATACTTAGCTATCTTAATTAGGTCAACAGTAGAGAAGAAACATTATAAAGAATTAGAAATCTAATACAATTTTCTAAAATATCATCCTTTTTGGGTTTTCTCAATGAAAATGTTTCATATAATAAAGCCCACTAAATTCCTTGTTTTCTTTCAATATAATCTAATGTAAGCCACATTATGTTGCAATAATAGAAAAAAAGTTAAATTATTCACTTTTTTCAAGAATAATTTCTTATTTTTTATGCCAAAGATCACCCAGATGGTTAACAATAGAAGCAAAACAAGAATCCAGTTCTGCCAATTACCTTCCATGTTTCATTAATATTACATAGAACCCTCTTGAAATACCCTATTTCGTGCCCTTAACACCTCTTACTGAGATGAATAAATAGTAACCTACATGGTATCCCAACTTCTATCAACTTGTTTTGCACAACGTTACCAAATAAATGCTCCAAAAGCTGGTTTTCACAAAATGAAATTCTCCTAAACTAACAATAACAAAAACAGCTAGCTTTTCAAGGGTGATTGCTATGTGCCAAGCACTTTACCCATGATTTAATTTTCACAACAATCCCATGAGGCAGGTACTTTTATTATCCTCATTTTGCAAATGAGAAAAGTTTAGAGAGGTTTATGTAACCTGCCCAAGGTCATGTAGCTATTAAGTGGTAAAATAGGATTCAAACAGGCAGATTTATTCGAGACCACATCCTAATCGTTTTCCTACATTATTTGTACATAAAAATATTCTTATTGCCTACAGCACCTAGTCAAACTCCTTTCTTTGGCTTTGAAGACTTCAAAATATGATCCAATCTTAATTTTACTAAACTTCACTACATATCAGTTCACTGGACTTACTGTTCTCTTCTACATAAATCATGTTTTATATCATTGTTATTCTCCTCCCAGTCTTAATTCAACTGTAATTAGTCTCTACATTTTACCTTTATAAAGCAGTAGTTAGGTTTTAAAGGAATATATTCTCATGAGTATTTACCTTTTGATAAACTTAAATTATTTACATTTATTATGGCAACCAGACTGGCCTAGATTCAAATCTTGACTTGGTATCTACTTGCTGTGTGATGCTGATTTAGTTATTTAACACTCCTCTGCTTGGGGAAGTAATTAGGTCACAAGGGTAGAGCCCACATGATGGAATCAGTGCCCTCATTAAGAAGACACAGGAAAGCACTTGCTTTCTCTCTCTTTCTTCTCGGGCATGTAATGATCCACAGCCAGAAGAGAGCTGTCAGCAAACCAGGAGGTGGGCCTCACCAGATTCCAGATCTACTGTCACCTTAATCTTAATCTTAAAGTACTCTGATTTTGCACAGGTAACCATCCTTCCCCTGCTCGTAGTATATGTGTTACAAATGGAGCTCAGTCCATATTCAGCTCCTAGACTAGGCATCTGGCTGAAGCCCTAGCCAATGGGAGCCTTATACACCCGGCCCGCGGAACTAGTTTGGGACTAAGCATAAAACACAAGCCAATCAGTTTGGATCAAAGCTAAACCCACGATTTTTTACTGAGTTATCAGAAAATAGGTGTTTTTTCCTGTTGGACTTGGAGCTCAGAGGATATAAGACTCAGGCTGCTAGGGTAGATAGGACTTGCCCAAAAGTGAAATCAAAATGGAGGATATACTTATACACACACACTTTGTGACTAGATAGGTAGATAAATAACATAAGCTGAGATCCTAATGACAATTTTAAGATCCTGCATCAAGTTGGGTCCTTCAGTTACATCAGCCAATTAATTCTCATATGACTTAAGCTGTTTTAACTTTGGTTTTCTGTTACTATTAACTGTAAGACTCTTGACAAATGTACACATGATAGAAAAGTCACATGTAATAATGCAATCGCATGTATATTTAGCATTGGCTTACCTTCTGGTTTAATAAAGCACTTGCCAATTTTTGTACTTCTGAACTCAATAACGCAGTTCCTCTGATGACTTTGCTGAGAGCAGCAAGAGACTGATGAACACTCTGTACCAAGCGAATGGCATTAAATTGTTCAAGAATGATGAAGGATAATAGCGGAGATTCTTGTCGATCATTAGGAGGAGTCACTTTCTGATGAATGAGGTTTGAATTCTAAAAGAATATATGTCATGTCATGTTTACTGAACAGTAACACAAATCACTGACATACTAAATCACGTCAAAAGTTATTAAAATTTTTGTTGTTTAACCTGTTTTGAAATACTCTTGTTTTAGAAATGGCTGAATTTATTAAATCTATAAATATACAGAAAGGAAATTCAGGAGTTGATCAAAATTTAAAGTGATGTGGAGGTGGAAATTGAGAACAGTGGGTGAGAACTGAGAAAGGTGAACCATACTGAGAAGCAGTACTTTCTCAATACAATATGAAAACTGGGAAGAATGGCACCCTGTGAGCCAACGCACAGACAGCAGAACAGCTATACTAGCACTGTACCACTACAAAGAGAACAGAAGAAAATATGGCTTTGTAATAAAAACGTGAATGGATACTTAATTCAACTTGAAAATTACCTGTAGTATATTAGAAAACCACACGAGAGACCTTGTACTCAAGGCCAGTGAATACTATATCTTAACATTTACTTCTATATATGAATTTTAACAAAGGCTGTGATACATGCAACTGCCAGTGCTTCTCAAATTAAGAAAAACTCAAGGAATCCCAGTTGTTTCTAAGCAGCTTTAGTATTTAAAAGGAAAAAAAGTCACCATCGATAGTATTCTAAAAGTGTCGAAGAACCATCAAGAGATAAAGGTGGGGAGTCCTCTTCCCTTGCTTACTATCCATTATCTTATTTTTTTCTATATAGTATATTTACCTGCTTAAGGATACATTCTCATATACTCCATGAGAGCACTATATTTATTTCTTCTATGTGGCATGATAAATAATTTAATAATATGATGATCTAGCATGGCTATTGCCATTGAATAAATCACCATTAAATAGATTTCATTAGCTTAAGATCATTCCTGAGGACAAATTTAGGCTATGTGCTCAAATTTAGGTACTTTTATATCTATTATAGCTACATTTAAATTATTAAAGCTTCTGAAATCATTTTTGAGACACAAATAAGTGTACAAAAATGTACACACTTGAATAAATAATTCGTGGTAAACTCAGAACTGAATCTGTAAGAGAAAAAAAGGATAATTTCCAAAAATTAACTAGAATTATCATCCCACAGATTGAAACTGAATTAGCTATTTGAACCAGAGTATGCAGTAAGTAATTCTTAGCACATCTCCAATCTAAATCAAATAAGTAACAAAACTGACATAAAATTTGGCCTACCAACTTCCATAACTCCTTATATTAAAACAAATTCCTGGAAATAAATAATATGTGGTATTTAAATATTTATCAACTGTATATGAAGCAAGATTATCAAACAAGAATTTGTTTTACTTAAAACCAAATCTAAGATCAGCGACAAGACAAGGATCTCCCATCTCTACTCAGCATATTACTAGAAGTCCTAGCCATACCAATCAAGCAGAAAAAGAGAAAAAAAAGACATCCAAATTGGTAAGGTGAAATTGTCACTATTTGCTGGTAACATGATATAGAAATATAGATATAGAAAACCCTAAAGACTCCACCAAGAAAACTATAAGAATTAATGAATTCAGGAAAGTCACAGAATTCACTATCAATATACAGAAATCTGTTGTGTTTCTATACACAAATAATGAACTAACAAAAAAGAGTAATTAAGAAATCAATCCCATTTACAATTGAAACAAAAAGAATAAAATAATTGGAATAAATATAAGCAAGGAAGTGAAAGACCTATACTCTGATAATTGTAAGACAAAGCAATTATGATAGAAATTGAAGATGGAACAAATAAATGGAAAGTCATTCCATGCTCATGGATGGGAAAAATTAATATTAAAATGGCCATACTTCCCAAAGCAATGTACAGATTCAATGCAATCTCCAGCAAAATACTAAATGCATTTTTCACTGAACCAGAGCAAATAATCCTATGGTTTGTGTGGAACCACAAAAGACCCTGTGGATAAAGTGAAGGTTCCTGTGGCCAGGATTCTCACCTGGCCCTGGTTGGCTAGCTCGCTACACATGTGGGCAATAAGTCATTATTGACTCTATATAAAGAGCCCCACCCAATGCTGTGAGTGACATGGTGGCAAGGCTGCAAGGCTGCAGGAGAGCAGAGGCTGGAGTGCTCGCAGCACTGTGGACAGAGACTGAGATGCCTGCACGGGTAGAAAGGCCCAGAGGCAGAGGCCAGCTTGCTGCACACAGACTCACTCTGAGTAGATGGGATTCTAGTGACTGACCATCCACTGTGGAAATAAAGTTGGGTATAACCCTTTCACCCCAAGAACATTCTGTTGTCATTTCTTTGGTCACATTGAATCCATAGTGAACTTGCCCAGGGCTGAAACCCATTGGCAACACAGACCCCAAAGAGGCAAAGCAAGTTTGAGAAAAAAACAAAGCTGGAGATATCATGACCCCTGATTTCAAACTATACCACAAAGCTACAGTAATCATAACAGTATGGTACTGGCACAAAAAGAGATACACAAATCAATGGAACAGAATAGAGAGGTAAAAAAAAAAAAAAAAAACCACACTTAAATGGTCAATTAATATATGCCAAAGAAGACAAGAATATGCAATGGGGAAAGACAGTCCCTTTAATAAATTGTGCTGAGAAAAGTGGACAGCTACGTGCAAATGAATGAAACTTGATTACTGTCTTATACCATAACATAAAAATGAACTCAGAATGGACTAAAAACCTAAATATAAGACCTGAAACCATAAAACTCCTATAAGAAAACCCAGGCAGTGACTTTTTTCTGGATATATCTCCCCAGAAAAGGGAAACAAAGGCAAAAATAAACAAGTGGGACTACATCAAAATAAAAAAGCTTTGCACAGCAAAGAAAACAAAACAAAAAGGCAACCTACTAAACAGGAGAATGTATTTGCAAATGATATATCTATCAAGGTGTTAGTACTCAAAATATGTAAAGAACTCATACAACTTAACACCAAAAAAACCCCCACAAATAATCTGATTAAAAAACTGGGCATAGAACCTCAATAGACATTTTTCCAAACAAGAGACACAGATGGCCAAAAAATACATAAAAAGGTGCTCAACACCACTAATCATCAGGGAAATGCAAATCAAAACCACAACAAGATTTAAGTAAGTACAAAGAAACGGGTCCCGTTTCTTTGTACTTATTTAAATGTGCCTCCTAGAAAATTTGAAATTACATATATGGCTCTCATTTGTGTGTCACCTAGTATTTCTATTGCACAGTGCTGGTGTAAAGACTATTGAGTAAAATGCTGTAAGTTCAACAATATGAACAGAGAAATGAGAAAAAAAACAGTAGGAGCTCAAAAGTGTTTGATTAATGACAGGTGAAAAAAATAAAGACTAGTAATGACAAACTGCAGTATTTAATCAAAGGAATGAGAAAAATGTAACAGCGAAGGCAGCAAAGTGTATTATATGTATATTATAACAATCTATTTCCTACCGGCCTTTACAAAATTTTAATAAAAATTAATGTAAAGTAACTGTCTTGCCAATGGGTTTCAGCCCTGGGCAAGTTCACTATGGATTCAATGTGACCAAAGAAATGACAGTAGAATGTGCTTGGGGTAAAAGGGTTACACCCAAGTTTATTCCCATGGTGGCAGGTCTCACTAGAATCCCATCCACACAGAATGAGTCTGCATGCAGCAAGCCAGTCTCTGCCTCTGGGCCTCTCCGTGCCCGCAGCCGTCTCAGTCTCTGGCGCTGCCACCACTCCAGTCTCTGCTCTGCTCTCCCGCAGCCTTGCAGCCGTGCCACTGTGTCACCCAGAGCACTGGGTAGAGCTCTTATAAAGAATCAATAACAATGTATTGCCCCCACATGTGTAGTGAGCTAGACTCAACTTCATTTCCACAGCACTTCATAGTGACACCATTCCAATCAGCAACAAATTTTCTTCCTCTTGGGGTGGACCCAGTCCTCCACCCTTCCCAGCACCACATGTCCACAGGGGACACTCGAATGTCTCCCCGTTTGTAGGTGCAGCTGCTGAAACACTCCTCCCAGGAGGGCAGCCTGCTTTTTTTCCTTGGTCACACTGAACCCATAGTGAACTTGCCCAGGGCAGAAACCCACTGGCAAGGCAATAACTAACTCTAAAATAAGCAAGATATATTCAACATTCTAAAAGGACGAAATAAACAGAAGTTAGAGTGTTACATAATCATAAAACAAAAAAAAATCAGATTATGTATTATTTATAATTCAATATAGCTAAAATCACTGAGTATTACATCTATATATATGATTTTGGGTGTAACTGTTAAGGGATAACACTCATATCCAGTAAATTGATTATTAAAAGAAAAGCTGTTTAATGACTAAATACAATTGACTGAATTGTGTATTTCTGAAGGATGGCTTTGATTATTTAAAGTTCAGCTTGTCATTAAAAAGCTAAGTGTATTCAGAGGAAACCAGTACCTGATTATTGAGCTGCTGGTGGAAAAACTTAATGATATTTAAAAACTTAATGAGTAGGCAAGGAATATATTTTAGGTAAGAAACCTCCAATTCAGTGCAATTTATAATGATACTAAATACCATGGCAAATGGTCTCATACTTAAAATATATTCTTTATATTGAAAATATAACAATGTTTAGTAACTAAGAGTTGGGAAAGAAAATGACGATCTTTTTCAGAAATTCTTTAACTCCTATATTGCTTTGTATGAAGAAATAAGTATTAAATTGGAAATCAAGGAAAAGTAAATTTTTAAGGATTACTAAAAAGAGGGATAAGCAAAAGATGAAATAAGCAAAAGATGAAAAGAGCGCTAGAGTGATCCTTTTCTACATGCACTATTTATGTGAACCTACACATTAAATATTTTGTGAGCTTCTTAAGGACAAAATAACTTACTCATCTTTATTACTACAGTATTTGTAATGCATACAGCTCTGGAGAGCTATGTTAGACTTGCAAGGATTGTTAAAAAAAAAAACTTATCCAGTTGAACAGAGAGGAAGGTAATCCATGCAGAGGGAACCACAAGAACAAAAACAAATGTTAAAAAGTGCCTGAAGTGTTAAACAAACAAAAACAAACAAACAAAAAACCCAGCAAGTATTCTGGTGTAGAAAAAACATGTGATATGTGGTACAGAGAAGTTGGAATGAAGACAGCCAGCCAATCTGGGATGAGACCACAAATACCTATGCTAAGAAGTTGACATTATATTTTATCCTTAAGCAATCAAATGAGTTTTTAAAAAGGCAAATTTTATGATCTAGAAAGATAAAATTAAGAAGAGTGTGGAGGATGAACTGCAATGCATGAAGCCCAGGTTTAACCGAGGATGCCTATCTATCTCTAGCAGGAATAGCAAAAGCCAAAGCAACTGCAGGCCATTGGGTCTGAAAATTTACCTCAGAGTCTACTGCATGCTTCCCTTTGATTCTCTGTTTGAGGCTGGTATCCTGGTTTCTTCCCCTCTGCAAAGCACTTTCAGAATGAGGACTCATTTGAAGAGTCTGCTGAGCTTATCGGTAAGACTTCTCTCCAAGGTACTTCCACAAGGATAAAATATTTCAGCATCACTGACTTAAATCTGTGCTAACACTGCTACACTCATCCCAGTGTTTCTGTGATACTGTGCTCTTCGTAGGCTCCACTCTTTTCCCTTTGTGTGAAAGGATGGGGTAGTCAAGCAGTGTGTTGTGGTATGAATCCAACAGAGACCTAACAATAGACTATATTTACATCCCAAATGAGAACAATGAGGGTTTGAGAAAGGTACAGAATTAGTTTGAGTTTCTAATACTGGGTTGGATCTTGGAAGGCAAATAAATTATATACGTATATTTTTTAGGTCACTGCTGTGGTCCTCTTTACGTAATAATAGAAAAATGTTCTCCAGAGTTACAAAGAAGGTATGTATTAGCAGAGGGTGGGTGGGGGATGAAGGAGTACTGGCAACAATAAAATCCGATGGGCTTGATGGAGAGAATTATTAAGGCAAGGAAGACTGTTACACATTCGAGGAAACTTCACACAGTGTGAAGAGTCAATGTTGATAACTTTAAGAACTGTCCAAATTTTAAAAGAATACAGCCCAAAGAAAAGTGAGGTAGTGGAAGATCACATATTCAGTACTGTGAGTTATATCCTGCAAATTCACAAATGTTCATTAAAACTACTGATGGAATTTAGGATATGTTACCCCAAAATCTGACACTTTGACGTATGAAATATTTTAAACTGAAGGAATTTCAGGAACAGCAGGTACAAGAACTCTAACCTTTATTTGAGGAAGGTCATAAGATCCTCATGTGAGACGAACCCTCCTGATACCCTAAGGAAAGGAACATCCTTACCTCTGAAGGTGGATAGATGTTGAGGAATCTGAGACAACAGAATGGCTAAGCTTTCCCCAGGTTACTACTCTTAGCTCATACCCATTAAAAAAAATTCCAGTTTTGTACTCTTCATCAAACCTGGCATTAAAGATGCTCAGGTTAAACCACTTCCTCAAGTCTTCCTTTCTTAGGAAGGCTCCCCAGGGCACATAAAACTTACATTAAATAAATTTGTATCTTTGTCTCTTACTAATGTCTTTTGTAACAAAGACCCAGCTAAGAAACTAAAAGGGTAGAAGGAACAGATATGTTTCCTCCCCACACTGCATAATAATATGGCAGGATTTTTTGTGAAATACAGAGATGCACCTTAAGGCCAGATCTAATGTGTGTTAAAACCAACGTGACCAAGGCAAATTAGAAGCAAGTAGGGTGATAAAATCATGGAATAGACTTTAACCTTACTCAAAATGGAAATTGGGTCAAATAAGTTCACTTTTATTTCAGAATAAAGGAAAAGTCTCCAACAAATACCTAGACTATTTCTCTAAAATATTAAGATGAAACCTTTGCAATAATTAGGATTACTTTTATCAATAGGTTTTGCTATTACGAACTTAGTTGATTATTCACATCATTTGATTTCTATCTTATTCTCTGAATAAAGACCTTGAATATAATTTTACATTATTCTCAGAATAGCTATATTATATACTATACATGGATGTGAGTATTCATGTGCTTGAATATTGCTAAATATGTGAACTTCTACTACTTCACCTTCTTTTGAATACGTTTTAAGAATTGATTGTACCTGGAGAATCATCAGAAAATTCAGAATAACCCCTGTCATGTTAAATAAAAAGTTCAAAACTCTTAAAAGAAGCTGAATCTTAAAAAGGAGAATATTACCAAATACCAAGAAAAGAAATGAATTGCTAAAGGAGAAAAAAGTATACTTATGTAAATTTGGTTATTAACTTAAAGATAAACTCAAAGGTTGGTCTAAGAAAAGAATGGGTAAAGAATAATAACTTCACTATGAATGGGTATGAAAAATGGAAATCAGGACTGTGGCTTCACAGTCAGGAATATCTACAATGTGATTACTTATATGACTCGGGCAGAAGTGGGGAACATGGATTTAGGATGCCATAGAAATCAGTATTTATTTTCATTCTCTAATTTTTCCTCAAGCTAGCTATATCAAGTTTTATCGATGTGATGATCTGAATAAAAGTGGCAATTCCAGTTATTGAGACTCCTGACAATCACCAATTGTTGAGACTCAGTCATAATAACTCAAAGTTACAATGCTGTTAGGTTTGAGGATTTTGAATTTTAGAGGGTTTCACCTTGTTCATGAGTTCTGAAATAAGCTCAAGTGACTTTCCCTTACTGAAGGTTGTATCTGATACGTAGGCATCTTTTTAGTATTACATCATTGCAAAATTATATTTTTAATTCCAGAGAATAAATTCCTATTCAGTATGAACAGAAATTATAATACTCTAATGGCTTTGCCTAGTAAGCAACTATTCTATAATCTAAGCTATAACTATTCTAATATAAAAGGAAGTTGATACCAGTTGACAAAGTTTTTCTTCAGCACTTTGATTCTTTTGAAAAATTTCATACCTTTAATGGCAGTAACTAACTTTACTTACAAAGAGGAGAGAGAAGGACCGGAGTGAACAAAATACACAGTAGGTATAGAAGATGATGACATAGCACATTACCAAAATAAGACAAATTACTCTGGTGACACAGCTTCTTGGGCTGATCTACTCCTATTACTATTATTTCCTCTATCTCTTTCTAGGATATTGTATCTATTAAGGGCAGATCAATGCAAATTTTACCAACATGGACAGTTTGGAAATAAAACTGGAAAAAAAAGATAGGAAGAGAAAGGGAAAAAAAATCAGAAGAACATTACACTACTAACCTGGTTTAGTTTCTTCCACAGATTGAGGACAGGAGAAAGTTCATTAGACCAGATTTCTCTATCAAATTTGCAACCAGCTGTTACTGATCTGCCCAAGATCCTTAACTGTGAAATAACCTGGATATAGAAAATGACAAAGAGCAATAAATGAAAGTGACTTCAGTCAGAGTAAAATAGCATATGTACAAAGTAGCCACATTTACTTTATAAAAATAAAGATGACATACAAACAAGCTTTAATCCCTCTGTTCAATTGGCTTAATATTTTACTGATTTATTTAAGCAATTAAAAAGTAAAAGAACCTAAAATTAAGAGGAACCACTATAAAAAGTACATAATAAAATGGCTCTTATTTGAAAAGCTATTTCTTTAGCGAGAAAGTTCTAATTATCCATCACTGATAACCAATGTGTATTAGATTATTTCTGAAATCCAAAATATTTTCAATTTCATTAATTTAAACATCATAATTTCAAAATGCTGATAAAGATAGTTTTCCTGAAAAGATGAAATCACAGATAGTAAATAACAGCAAACTGTATAAAATAGTAAAACAACCTAAAGAAATTATTGGTTCATAAAATTTATCATAAATCTAAGTTTTAAATCTCTATATTAATTTTAACTTTTCTCCTCAGTTTTCCCTTTACACTTAAAACTGAAATGAAAGAAGTAGAAATCAATTAGTTAAAATGTGGAAAACCATGAATGGATAAAGAAGATGTGGTACATATACACAGTGGAATATTATTCAGCCATAAGAAGAAAACAAATCCTACCATTTGCAACAACATGGATGGAGCTAGAGGGTATTATGCTCAGTGAAATAAGCCAGGTGGAGAAAGACAAATACCAAACGATTTCACTCATATGTGGAGTATAAGAACAAAGCAAAAACTAAAGGAATAAAACAGCAGCAGAATCACAGAACCCAAGAATGGACTAACAGTTACCAAGGGGAAAGGGACTGGGGAGGATGGGTGGGAAGGGAGGGATAAGGGGGAGGGGGAAGAAAGGGGGCATTATGGTGAGCATGTATAATGTGTGGGGGGCACGGGGAGGACTGTGCAACATAGAGAAGACAAGTAGTGATTCTACAGCATCTTACTATGCTGATGGACATTGACTGTAATGGGGTTTGTTGGGGAGACTTGGTGATGGGGGGAGTCTAGAAAAAATAATGTTCCTCATGTAATTGTAGATTAATGATACCAAATTTTAAAAAATGTAGAAAACCATTATTCTCTTTTTAGGGTTTTTACTTCAGTAATTTCCTTGTTATCAGCTTCTTTATCATGACTCTTATCAAAATGGTAAGTACTTCCATTTCAGTAACATTAATAACCTTCTTAGTCATTTGCTAAGAATGATACAGAATATTATCAAGTATGCTAAATATTGTATTATTATAGATATTAGGGTATGTGTATAAAATCAGTGATATCCACTCATTGTTCTTCCTAAGTATTTCTACTAGATACTAAAATTGCATTATTTCATTGCAGATTATCTAACATAAATGAAATGAATCCAAAAAAAAAACCAGACATAGGCTTTCCTAAACTAGTATTTTAAATAGCAGCATTTGCAGCATGTTGGATACTTTAATGTGTTACTTTTTGAGAGATGTAATTTGTTTTTCCTTTTTAAAAGATTGGGTTACATTTCATATTTTGTTGTTTTTTTGTATCAGTAAAGTTTGTGATAAAATAAGGGCCATAAATCTCTCAAAATGAATGCACTACTTAATTGCTAAACATCTACAATCATGCTGTTAAACTCAAGTTATTTCTAGAGCTTTTGATCGATTCTCTAATCTTGAAAAGATTGTGGTGATTCAGTGTTTCATTTCCTTTGTTTTTGTGATAAATTATTTTCATTTTCTCTAGCTGAACCTTACAATAGCACCAAATTTATCAGCTTTGCTAGATAGACCCCAGGACCTCACTAGTTGGGAGTCAGAAGAAATGCTATTTTAACTCTGGTAACATTTGTTATCACTTATTTGTGTTTTAAATTTGTCAAACATGACAGAAAACAAATAAGAATGCAAGGACATGTCTTTAGGAAAAAAGGTTCAAATATTTTTGACAATGACTTTAAAAACCATTTTAAGAATGAAATGTTTACCAGCTAAAAACAGGTCATATCATGTGTGTTGTCCTAGAAAAATAACATGTGAGGCTCATTGTTTTCTTAATAATACTAATATATTAAAATCTTTAATAAACATAGGTAATAAAAACAGAGTTTAAATACATAATATTTTTATAATGAGGATATGGCTATAGTTTATAATGATGGATCATCTTTTATTTTTAAAAAATCTTACATATTTATCTCTACAAAACACAGATAATAAATCATTCCATTATTCATGTTCTAAATCAATTAAAAATACTTTAGTCAATAATACTCGTTTAAGTGATATCAACGGGGATATAATTTCCCATGAACAATACATTTAAGGGAATACCTCAGAGATACTGAGGGTTCAATTCGAGACCACTGCAATAAAGCAAATATCATAGTAAAGTGAGTCAAATTAATTTTTGGTTTCCCAGTGCATAAATGTTATGTTTATTCCATTGCAGTCTAATAGCAGTATGTCTAAAAGAACAATGTACATGCTTTCATTTAAAATTACTTTATTGCTAAAAAATGCTAACCATCCTCTGAGCTTTCAGAAAGTTGCAATCTTTTTTGCTGGTTCAGGGTGTTGCCTTAATGTTGATGGCTACTGACTAATCGGGACAGTGGTAGCTGATGGCTGGGGTGGCTGTGGCAATTTCTTAAAATAAGACAACAATGAAGTTTGCCACATCAATGGACTCTTCCTTCATGAATGATTTCTCTGTAACATGCGATTCTGTTTGATAGCATTTTACTATCAGTTAGAACTTCTTCCAAAATGGAGTCAAGCCTCTAACATTCTGCTGCTGTTTTACCAACTAAGTTTGTGTGATATTCTAAATCTTTTGTTGTCACTTCAACAACTTTCACAGTACACTAACCAGAAGCAGATTCCATCTCATATTTGACATTTCTCACACTTTCTCTGCTCATCCATTAGAAGCAACTCCTCCTCTGCCCAGCTTTCATGAAGACATTGCAACAATTCAGTCACATCTTCAGGTTCCACCTCTAAGTCTAGTTCTCTTGCTGTTTTAACTACATTGACAGTTACTTCCTCCAGTGAAGTCTTGAACTCCTTAAAGTTATCCATGAACATTGGAATCAACTTCTTCCACACTTGTGCTAATGTTGATATTTTGACCTTTTCCCATGAATCATAAATGTTTTGAATAGTATCTAGAATGGTAAATCCTTTCCAGAAAGTTTTTAATTTACTTTGCTCAGATTCCATCAGAGAAATCACTATCTATGGGCAGGTATAGCCTTACAAAATACATTTCCTAAATAATTAGACTTAAAAGTCAAAATTACTCCTTGATCCATGATGGGCTGCAAAATAGATGTCATGTTAGCAGAAATGAAAACAACATACATTTTGCTGCTCATCTCCCATTAGCGCCCTTGGGTAAGCAGGTGCATTATCTATAAGCAGTAATATTTTGAAAGGAATTTTTTTTTTCTCTGAGCAGTTCTCAGTAGTGGGCTTGAGATACTTAGTAAACCATGTGGTAAGAGATGTACTGTCATCAAGACTTAGTCATTCCATTTATAGAGCACAGGCAGAGTAAATTTAACATTATTCTGAAAGGCCCTAGGATTTTCAAAATGGCCACTGAGCAATGGCTTCAACTTAACATCAGCCTGTCCTTTGAAGCTTTGAAGCCAAGCATTGACTTCTCCTCTCTAGCTATGAAGTCCTAGATGGCATATTCTGCCAATGTAAGGCCATTTAGTCTATACTGAAAATCTAGTGTTTAGTGCAGTCACCTTTATTATCTTAGCTTATTTCTGGGTAACTTGCTGCAGCTGCTGCAGCTGCTACAGCAGTACTTGCTGCTTCATCTGCACTTCCCTGTTATGGAGGGAGCTTCCTTCCTTAAACCTCATGAACCCACCACTGCTAGCTTCAAACTTTCCTTCTGCATCATTCTCACCTCTCTCAGGCTTCACAGAATTGAAGAGATGGCCTTGCTCTGGATTATACTTTGGCTTAAGGGGATGTTGTGGCTGGTTTGATGTTCTATCCAGAACACAGTAACTTTCTCCATAATAGTAATAAGGCTGATTCACACTCTGAGCATTCATGTGTTCACTGGAGTAGCATTTTAAGTTTCATTTAAGAACTTTTCCTTTGCATCCACAGCATGGCTTCATGTTTGCTACAAGAGCTCTCTAAGTTTTGGCCTATCTCAGCTTAGCTTTAACATGCCTTCCTCACCAAGCTTACTCATTTGTAGCTTTTGATTTAAAGCAAGAGATGCGGGATTCTTCCTTTCACTTGAACATGTAGAGGCTATTGTAGTATTGTTAACTGGCCTGATTTCACTAGGTGCTGTGTCTCAGGAAATAGGAAGGCCCCAGGAGGAGAGAGACAGAACAGCTGGTTGGTGGAGCAGTGAGAACACACACATTTGTCAGTTAAGTTCACCATCTTACATGGGCATGAGTCACAGTGCCCCCAAATACAATAGTTATACCAAAGATCACTGATCACAGATCACCATAACAAATAAAATAATTATGAAAAGGTTTGAAATGTGAGAATTAACAAAATGTGACCAGTGACACAAGGTGAACGAGTACTGTCGGAAGAACAGCACCAACAGCTTGCTCCAGGCTGTCACAAGCCTTCAATTTGTAAAAAACCCAAGACCCTCAAAGCACAATGAAGTGAAGTGCAAAAAAACAAGGTATTCCTGGACATCACTTCACATTCCGTCCACATGGAACGGCTCGTGCTGGGCCGCCGGCGCGCTGTGGGGAACCCGTGGGGCAGGAGGAGGTCACAGAAGATGCCGCTGCTGCTACCCCACCTATCCTTACCACAAAGAACAATGAGAAACACTTCAGAAGTACCTATACTTCTGAGCAAGAGGTGTGTGTTTATTGTAAAACACTAAATGTTATGGACACTTTTATTTTCGTTTGGATATTAGGAAGCACACAGAAGATTTTGTGAACTAACAATATAGACTTCGTA